GCCCCTGGATCCGCCCTTGTACAGTGGTGTAGAAAAGAGCGTTCAAGCAGCTCAATCTATGAGTGAGAAATGAGGTAACACAGCAAAGTTTGGCACAATCTTTCACCCAATCAAGTGATATTCAACTTTCGCGGCTTTTTTAATGAAAATAACGAAAAGAACTACTTAGCACATTTTTTTAAATTTTCTAAAAAATATCCTACAAAAATACTGGAAAAATTCAGAAAATTAGTGCGTACATTTCTTTTAAAAGCAACCGGGTGCGAGAAAAACCGGCGTTCCTAGAGTATACTTTAGGACCCTTGGGCGTGGCTGACTTTAAAAAGGGTCAACGATACACCGTTGCCAGTTTGGTTATGTACTGGTACAGTATTTCTGTGAGTACCTAACCTCACTTGCACTCGCAAAATTCATACTTGTCAGCTCCACTGCCAAAAAAATTAAGTTTTTTTAAATTAAAATGGTCAAACAACGGAAAAAAGATTCCGTAAAACGCAGGAGACTAGTGCAGAAGTTGCTTGACTTATTAGACAGCTCAAGTAAGTATTCAAATCAAGATGTGCTTTATTGCGACCGAAAATCTGAAATACATTTTATGGACAAAGCGGTTGAATCGAATTTCTCGAATCTCTCTCTTCGAATTCGAACCCTCCGAATTTCTAGTTTTTTTTTAAATTAAGCAAAAAAACACTCACCGAGTTCGAGTAAAATGACCGAAATATACAAACCGCCTTTTCACCGTAGATCGATGTAATTGCATAAGTGAATGCACTTTAACATTCCACACCATTTCTATCAAAGAAATGTTTTAATATCTTTAAAAAAATACTCTTATTTGATCCTTCCAGATGAATCAGACGATTCAAGTGATGAATGTTCTGGCGTCCCGGTGGTAAATCTGAATACGACACCTGTGAGCCCTTTGACTGGTCCCAATCAGGGCTATAACGTGCACCCTGACATATCAGACCTTCTATCTACTGTCCTGCATAAGGGCAGGAGTTACGACTCGCGCCAATTTGCCTTAGCGTCGTACCCACTTTTAGGCAATTGTTCCGCATTGAATCCGCCCCAAGTTAATCCGGAAATTAAAACGAACTTGATCGAATCACATCAAATCGCTTTGAACAAAGACGAATTCCTCCGGAAAGTGCAGTTGCAACTAGCCGCAGGTATAAGTGCGCTGGCAGTGCCATTGGATCAGCAGTACGAAAGAAGCAGACTGGATCGAAGCGAGGTGGCGAGGGAGGAACTGGCCACTATTAGCGATCCGATCAAAATATTTTCGGATGTTTTCCACTCCATATCGGTACATCGGCGAAGGTTGCTTACGCCTCTGGCCAAAGTAGGATTGAGATCGGGACAAATGCGGGCGCTTCCATACGATGACATGCTGTTTGGAAATTGCCTGGCTGAATGGATCAGAAAACCGCAGATTAAAGTCAACACCTCATTGCCAACTATGGACACTCAACCGATAAAACACAATGTTCAAAACAACGCACCAGTGAGTAATACGAACGCTCAGAGTACATCAACTCCAAAGCCTCCATCCCAATCTCACACACCGACGATCACCCGCAATGGGAATGGTAATTCAGCGATGAATAACATGGCATTAAAGACCGATCCTCAGGCATCCACATCGGGTACTTTACCACCTGGGCGTATTAAGCGGAAACGTACCAAGGCTGCAAAGCGAAAAGCACAATCAGCCATGCTACAATTTGTCGCCCATCAATCAGATAATGGTCAAAAACCGTTTCTTGATAATGGCGATAAGCAATTTTCCATTCCTATGAACCCAACGAGAAATGCAGAAGGGCATTCGGTCGATAGTTCAGATGCTGCAAAGCGAAAAGCACCATCAAACATCCTACAATTTCCCCCTGCAATTCCCAATGCTGCAAATATGCAAAACCATCAACGGAGTTTAACCCAAACGACGGAATCCACTACTTTGAAAATAAAAGTTGAAAAACATCCATAAGATCAGTTTTATCAGACGCTTTTTTTATCATTTGTCACCAGTTTTATAAGAGAATGAGATGATGAGAGAACCAACATAAATAAGGCATTGATTGTACTTTATACGGTTGATTGAAAGTTCACGGTATTCTTTTTAGATTTAAGGAGTTATACCTTAGGAGGTGCATACAATAAAGTGTATTTTTCTTTCTAATTTTGTTTATTTTTTAAATTAAGCACATTATTTTTAATTGTGTATACTTTCCTGACCGTGTTTCAATTCCAAATCAAAATTAATGAATTAAGTACATTTCAAAATGTATACCAAGACTTAAAGCAGCAACAACGCTACACATAAAAACTGATGATGGTGGAAAAATACACCGAAACGTATTTTAATTGATAAATAAAGACAATAAATGACTGAAACCCAGGAACTAATTTTGATTATTTTTAATGAAACAATAATAGGCTAAAGTGACCAGGATCTTAATTGTTTGGATTTGAACACTTTATTTCGTTGAAAAATTAGAAAATGTTGCAAGCAAACCATGTGAAAATACCAAAGTTTACTACAAAGCGTTTGGAAATATTGCAAAAAAGTTCCATGGGGGGCGGTGGTTTAATACTGTGGGGATACACAATTTTTGAAAATCTGCGACGACAGACAGACTTTTTCCTTGCACTTTGTGCTTCTAAAGCTAGAAATGAAAATCTAAGTACCTCGCGGTAAGTCGCACCCGTTCTTTGTTATCTTAGGAACAAGTGAATTTCACTGAGCGAAAAAACTATAAAAATTAACACTAATTACACTTATTTATGGTTCAACTATTCAAAATTTGTAACTATTTAATGACAAGTTGTCAGAAAATCCCAGAACCCCTCTACTTTAATATAGGTTAGAGGCAGACGAGTTTTCTTCGAAGCAGAGGAAGTAACCTCAAATTTCCGCCAAATCCCAAAAGTTAGTTAACTTTAGATCAGATTTCAAGGTAATTAGCACCCATACTGCCGTAAGACAATAAAAGTTCTCATCACCTGAAGAAAACTTTGTACTATTGGCAGAAAATAGTCAAACATGGTTATGTAAACTGGGGCTAATTTCAGGTTGAAAATGAGGCTGTTCACTTCCTTGATGGGCGTCAAGCAAAAGGCCCGAGCTAGGCCCCAAGAGCCAGTACCATTTAAGGAGATTTTGCCCCTCAAACTGAAACCGGGTGTCTCGGGGAAAGGCAACAAGATGTCGAACCTAAGTTGCCTCTACGAAATGTCGATTTTATTCGCATGTCTTTCAAACAGCGAGTTCCAACAGCAACCATGCGGCAAAGAAATCACATCGTTTCAAAAGTGCTACTCCACCTACACGTCCGATAAGAAGCAAAAGTCGGAGCGGGATATGAAAGGGATTTTAACTCCAGGTGAACGCAATCTATCTGCCAAGCAACTAAACATGTTGCTGAAACGATATCCTTCGTAGTCTTTACTCGTGTCAGTATAATAGAAAGCGTTCGATATAGGTACTGACCTAGTTAGCACAATAAAATGACGAATTTAGATACTAAACAGATCTCCTGGGCAGTTTTATTTCTCCCAACAGTTCATCCTAAAACCAAAGCAAAAACGGAACTCAAGTTTAAAAAGTACACACACTGTTTGAAATTATTGGAGATCAATACACTTATGACGGTTCGGATCTTCCGTAAAATTCATAGAAAGGGCAATGCACTGGACACTCGTTCTGGGTCTGAAATTACAAAATTGCTGATTTCTATAGTTGACTTTCTACCTACAACTTACATGAAGTTCTTTGTGGACCTTGTAAGCACTGTTGCTTTTTCGAATCAACATCAACAATCGAGCCTGCTTCTTAAGCTTAATTATACAGTTTTCGCATACGGTTTTGGGCAAACTATCATATCTATTTAACTGAAAAGAACTGGATGGTACACAGAACTAGAAAATGCTGGGAAACTTACCGTAATAGGAAGTAGTTTCAAGTTGTCAAGTAACTGCAAGTTTTTCGCTTTGCCTGTATACATGTGAATGACTACACGCTTCAAGTTGGAGCACAGGCGGCATATGTAGCCGACTTTTCTAGCCTGGTTTATGCTCCCCATTTTAATTACCCGCACTAACAACTATTAACTCACAATGTTTTTCTCTGAATGTTTTTATTCATGACAGAAGGCTTGTTAGGTTATTGCCATCAAGGACATCTCACCAGAGTCTAGCTTCATTTGACAACATCCCTATTAGGGATGTTGCAGTTGGAGTTGTTTCCAACTATTCCAAAAATATAATTTTTAATTATACAGCTGATCTTGTTTTATAGCCTGACATGGAACTAGTAGAAAAGAGTTCCGTAAAAAATTTGGGTCAAAAAAATAAAACAAAAAGGGTTTTTTCCCATTCTTGCAACGCCACTAGAAAAATGTTGCCCCGAAAATATTACGGCGATTTTTACGGAAAATACCCCAAAAATATTCAGGAGGCGCAAATAAATGTGCCGAAACGTGGGAAGTTAAAAAACAGGCTTGATAGAATCAAAGTTATTTAAAATTTACGTTGCGCATAAACCATTGTTTAAAATAAATCTTATACATTAAACCAGATTTTTTATTTTCAGGCAAAAATTATTAACATTATTAGTTTAATTAAATACTCTTCGACATAATTTTCGTATTTTGATTTTGCTTACACTTTAAATATTGTTAACTTTTGAGTTTTAAAATCGGTACGTAGTTGAATAAAGTTGTCCAGGATGGATTTTTCCAAATTTACCTGTAAAAAGAAATAAATTGAAAAAAAAGCGACAAAATATCGAAAATTCTCACCAAGGAATCCTCGGAACAGACTTGATGCAGATTTTCCGCTTTTACCAGCAGCAAATTGCACAGAGCGTGCAACGTTTCAAACAATTCAATCACCAAAGGACCCAGCGATTTGGTGCAGGATCTGTACTCGTTTAAATCGCATATTGCCACCATCGCCCCTGATAGAAACAATCATTTTAAAAAAATACCTAAAAAAGTTCTTCCAAACTTTTATTTGAGTAGCTCTAAATACTGATTTTTGCGCGTTTTTTTCACAATTGCAGGTTCTACTTTCAACATTCCTAACTTCTAATCCCAAACATACAGCGACTTGAAATTTTTACTGTACAGAAAAGATGCCTAAATCCCAATATACTGAGAATTTCATTCGCATCATAAATACCTGCAGTGTTATATTGAAATTGCAACATGTGATCGTAAATGGTTCGGTGCAGCCGCACCCCAAGTTCTTCCAAAACCGCCGTTACATTGTTCCCATCCAGATTAGTCTTCATTTGCTTTATAATACTGGAAATATACTGACAGACTGCTTTACAGGCCTAAAAAAGCGACTCGACATTCAAATTAAAAATTATTAAAATTAAAGCGGTGTTACCGGTGAGGCCACTGTATCAAAATCGTCGGTTTCTGGCTTAAAATCGCCCTTCTTCTGCTCGGCCTGCAAGTACAGCTTCATCCAAGCAGTCACCGCATTTAAGCATCTAGAACAACCGCAACGGATAATCTATAACCGCCTCACTAAGGGGCAACTATAAAATCACCTGTCTAACCCTAAGTTCACTTTACGCTCCATGTCTTCCAAGACAAACTTCTTCTTTTGGATGCATTCGTTATATACTGGCGTATTCCTGAACACATCAGAACCTTTACCAGTGAATGGTTTTCGGGTATCGCCACTTACGTAATTAAAGGAAGCACCAGATCCATGAATTGTTTCTCCACCAGATGGGTGATATTGTTGCATTGATGGACGATTGTGAAGAAATACAAAACAGGTGGATTCTTCGCGCCTTCGACCACTGGAATAGCATGAAGGCCCAGCTCAACCGCATAGTCCACGTGTTCGATCAGCAAACTATTCACTAAAGTCGTTAATATCTTGGACGCATTGCTCGATTTGTCCTCGGGCCTGGAAAGCTATTAAATTTTCGTTAGATGCAATCCAAAAGTCGAGGAAAATTGTTGCTTCACTCACAAGCTGACAGCGGAGAAAGGCATGCTTGGTGTCTTGCAATATCATAATCGCCAACTCTTCAGCCAAAAAAGTCTCTCCCCCATAGTTTTCGATTTGGGCAATATTAATGTTGGCTCTTGTGCCGATAACGGCCTGTAAATCTCTTCTCAAATCTTGGAAGCTTCAAAAAAACAATCAATATGCCACGATTTTTTCATTATGCGCTTGTACTTACCCGCCGCTTTGTATCTGCTTTTTTTGGTGGCTTTTGCTGTCGTAGTATTTCTGCAAATTGTGCGTGCAGCGTTCTTTTAAACATTTCAATTCGATTCTGCAAAACAAAATACCCATTTTCCAAAGGGAAAGTTCAACAAAATTAAACCAAATCACTTACTGGATGTAATCATTGATGTATTTATTGAAGATTTTCGTAGTGAGCTTTGTGAGGTAGTTCTGATCACTTCCAAGATTATACACGCTCAGTTCGCTGGAAAACTGATTGGTTCTGCAAACAAACATGAAATTAGCCTTGCGCCAGTGGAATAACGCATAAACCCCTACTTGGAATACAGCTCGTATAAAATCTGCAGGTACTCGTAACTGCCCACTTTGGAGCTCAACCGCGACTCCACATAGTCAGACAGCTTCAGTTGGTACAAATTCAGAACGAACTTGGCCATAACTTGCTCCGGGTTATTGAAAACCTCCTTAATAATCTCGTAGTTGTGTTTGCACAACGGAAGCAGATTGGCAAAGATGTCCTTGCTTAGAAGGCAGCCCTTAAAGATCCGAGCTTAACTGTTAGATGTTTTCTTAGATATATTAATAGGGTGCGTACCATCTGGCTCTGATCAATGTAGGCATCCACGCACTGCGAATAGCCCTTGAATTGCGATAAAACATTCGCAATTGCCTTCATTCGAATTAGATCCTCTTTACTCATCGCTCTTACGAAGTCCTCAATCAAGGCTTTTTCAATGTCTGAGTAGGTTCGCTCGATCTTCCTTTTCACGCTCTCAAACCTACAGTGAAAGCATCAGCAACTGGAGTTTCCGTGTGAGCTGGCACTTACTTGGGCGAAGGCAAATCTTGGGAGATCAGAAACAGCTTCTGAATTACATCGGCGGCTTCGTCGACCTAAAGATTTTGGATCGATTGGAGAGTTGAGGTGATTTAATGAACTTCATACTCGATAAGGATCGTTGAATATGGAGCTAGTTAGCGGCCCATTAGACAGGAACTCGCTCAAATGGCTCATCAGCTTATGGGCATCGACCACGCGAGCTCTAGGGCCATTAACACTATCCAGTTGGTCTCCAAGATGAAGCACCTTAGTGGCTACATGGTTAATCTTGCTGTCCAGCTCTTGGAATGTATCAATTGATTGCTGCAAAGTGGATATCGGCTTTAAAAATCGCCGCTGGCATTACTCGGTTTGCTTACCTTGTTTTGTTCCAGCAAGGTGTAGATTTCCTGAAAAAACATCGCCTCATCTTCCCTTACCACTGACTCCAGTCTCTCGCACTTTTTCTGTTGGCGTTCTTGCAACAGAGTCAAATCTCTGGAACAAGCGTAATTTTATTCGGCTTTCTTCTGTTTGCGTCCCAGTTAAGGCAGAACAAATTATTTACTGTTATAGTTATTTACTTGATTGCCTGCACAAACGAGTCATGTAATAACGAAGGATTTATATCTCCTTCATCGCCCTCTGTTTTGGTTTCGGCAATCGTTCTCCAGGCCAGCCGCTCTACAAACTCTTCAGCATCAAATGGCTCCTTGAAAAACGGTTTAAAAATTAGCAAAAACAGCTTTCCTTAGAACAGATGGTTTTTGCTTAGGTGTCGACCTGGTTTGGTCAACAAAACCCTCTACTTATAGATCTAGTCTTCGATCGACATTTTCTAGTTGTCTTGCTTGTGGAAATAGGGGCTCTGATCACTTTTCTCTCGCGAAAATTCGCTCCTGATCCATAAGATAAGCATCTATAGGGAGGGCATTGTTAAATTCGTGAGGACCTAACTGACCTAAACATTTTTGTAAACTAAATTTTCGTCAATATTCCCTTATATCCAGAAATTTTAGCGTTTGGTTTTGGGGGACTTTAACCTTTCATTTCAGTTCCGTTACTTTACTGCACTCTACCTGTTCCAGCTCCTTAATGTATTGTTGCATCATCTTGAAATGTGTCCGCTTCCGCACAGAAATATATAAAAAAGATTACAAAAGCGAAAATTGCATGCACCAAAAAATGAAAACAAATCAGTCATAAACACAAACAGCTGATTGACATAGATGAAGGCAAGTCTGTGATTGTGAGGTCTGTGTATTCAGGATGGCCGAGAAGCTGAAACCATAAAATAACCCCAAAAAGAGGGTTGTTCTGTGGCTGAAACTGCCCTCGTCAATATTTTTAAAATCAAGTTTTTTGTTGTTCATCTCACAGCCAGACTGGACTTTGCACTTGTGTGAGAAATTCGCAAAGCACCCTGAAAATACTTGTTATGCCCACCAGTCGGCTGTTTTTCTACTTTCCACTATAACTTAAAACCTGTTTAGTCGCTCTTGGTGCTTACACGAAGTCTCTGTCCTAGTTTTTGAAGACAGTAAGTACATGAACAGTATCAGGAACTAATTCCTGATTGTAAACATGTTTACAGTTCGAGTTATCAGGGTTAACCAATCGCAAAATGCCTGTTCTGAAGTGCTACTATGACTTACTTTCACAGCCCAGCAGGGCTGTGTACATTTTTCTGAAAGTGGCCAACATCCCTTTCCAGAGCTGCCCAGTGGCTTTGCGAACAGGCGAGCATCAAACTGAAGACTTCAAGGCGTCCATGAACCGATTCCAGAAGGTTCCCTTCATCCATCACGGGGACTTTAAGCTGGCTGAAAGTGTGGCAATTGTCAGCTATTTGGCTCGGGAATATCGGGATCTCATTCCAGACAAATGGTAGGTAATATTTGCCAGTTTTTCACTATCCGACTAATCGTCCTTAATCTAGGTATCCTGCTGAAAGTAAGGCCCAAGCTCGAGTGGATGAATACCTAGCCTGGCAACATGTAAACACCAGACAGCCGTGCGCCACATACTTCTTTTACAAGTACATTATTCCTGCCATGACTAAATCACCCCCAGACGAAACCGAATTGGCGAAACTCGAATCAAATTTGGTACTTTTGAACCCTTGTTGTCCCTCTCCTGCTGTTTGTCATTAGCCATTCTATTCGAAGATTTCCAGGTTACTTGCCTGGATCAACTGGAAGAACTCTGGCTATCGCCAGAGCTAAAATATATAGCAGGCGACAGCATTTCAGTGGCCGACATTTTTGCGGCCAGTGAATTGGAGCAAACTCGATTAGCGGCTTATGATGTCACGAAAGACCGCCCGATTTTAAAGGCCTGGCTGGAGAGGGTCCGGGAAGAATGCAATCCAGTCTATTCAGAAGCCCATGCTGTTTTAAACCGATTAGTGGCAAAAAACAGTCAATCTAAATTATAACCTATTTTAAGCATTTGTTTTTATCGGGCATTTTATTTATTGCCACCTTATTGGTCGCTCCCCCCAATTTGCCACCAATGACTTTCGTTGTCACACTTGTTGCGAGCAACAGTGAGCGCACTACACACGTTGCCATGGAAATAATCTGGCTTACGTGATATACCACGGTCAGCACCTTGAACATTATTGAAATCTTAAGGAAAATACACTGCAAATTGACTATGAAGCTTCTCGATTACAGGAGATTAATTGAGCCAAACTGAGCTCTTTTGAAGTTTGAGTCTCATGTTAATCTCCTGCAAAAACGTTTCAACCTGATTGCAATGACAACGAGACAGTGATCAAAACAAGAAATATAACCTAGAAAAATTTTGGCGGTTGTCACACTAGTCGATTGTTTGTCTTTCCATTAAAAAACGTGAAAGCAACATGAGTATGTTATGGGTGGACAAATACCGACCCAAAGAGCTGTCCGCTCTGGACTATCACATCCAACAAGCTGAAGAGCTGAAGAATCTAGTTGAGCACAGTGACTTTCCACATCTCTTGGTATATGGCCCCAGTGGGGCCGGGAAGAAGACCCGCATTATGTGCATCCTGAAGGAGCTGTTCGGGCCTGGAGTGGAGCGTTTGAAGATGGAACCGATTACAGTGACAACTCCCTCAAACAAGAAAGTTGAAATTATGACTGTGAACAGCAATTATCACATTGAGATCAATCCGTCCGATGTGGGGATCTACGATCGGGTGGTGGTGATGGATTTGATTAAAAACATCGCGCAAACCCAGCAGATTGGGATGACCGGAAACCAGCGGGACTTTAAGGTGGTGCTGCTAACTGAAGTGGATAATCTGACCAAAGACGCTCAGCATGCCCTGAGACGGACGATGGAAAAGTATTCGGCCAATTGCAGGCTTATTCTATGTGCCACGTCCTTATCTCCGGTTATTCCCGCTATTCAATCGCGATGTCTTCCCATAAGAGTGGCGGCTCCAAGTGTGTCTGAAATAGCCACTATTTTACAGGTAAGCGCTGGCAGCTTCAGTTGCAGCAGGGTGTAGCTGATGGCATTTTCAGAGCACCTGCGAAAAAGAAGACTTGGAACTGCGGCCTGAGTTAGCTGAGCAAATAGCGACCGCAGTGAATGGCAACTTGAGGAGAGCGTTGCTCATTTGCGAGGTATACAAGATGGAGCATGGGGACCTCTCTGAGCAAGTCGGCGAGCCTCTCCCTATCCCTGAACCAGACTGGAAGGTCTTTGTTGTACAAACCGCCAGCTTGATCACCAGTGAGCAGAGCATAGAAAATCTGATGGCGGTTCGTGAGCGTTTGTATGAACTTCTATCCAATGGCATTCCTCCAGAAATTGTTCTCAAAGAACTGTTGACTGCCCTCCTGATGAAGTGCGATAAACACATCATCCCGCAGGTGAGAACTTGCCAACTGAAAGTAAAAAAATGTTAATTAAAAATGTTTTTCCCATGCTGCAGGTTTTAAGAGAAGCTGCCTTGTATGAGTACAGGATGACCCAAGGAAACAAACACATAGTGCATCTCGAAGCCTTCGTCACCAAGTTTATGTGCCTTTATCAGCGACACCTCAAAAGCCTAATGCAAGGATTTTAAAAATTCTCCATTATTTAAGTCTGAAATTATTAAAGAACCTCACTACCACACAGCGTTGCCAACCCTAGTGGGCCTCTGACAATTCAGCTGTTTGTGTTTGTGAAACTCCCGCTTGCAGGTTAGAAATATATTTACCAAAGCAGCCCCGTTTGTTTAATTAATACTCCAACTGGCCAAAGAAACAGCCATGGCAGAATGCAGTGAGATCCAAGAGGGGTTCTTGTGCCCCATCTGCCACAAAGACATGCGATCGCCCAGCAATCTGCTAAACCATTTTCAAGACCAGCATTCTGAGGACCAGGAGTTTCTAAAGTCCCTCAAAGGTAGATGAGTAGCGGCTTCACTCCTCTCTCAAGCCTCATTGGGACTTTCCCTAGGCATCTATGGAAAGGCCAAAAAGAAAATCCTGAAATTGGACGACCAGGAATTGCAAACTTTCAAAGAGCTCACCCAGGAAAAGTTCTACTTGGACTCAAGTGATCCACAGGAGCCCGGCCCCTCGCAACGTCACACCAACTACTTCAAGGAAATCAGGAGGGAGCGACTGGACCACCGGACTACCGAAACTAACAAGCTGATTATTAGACTGGATAGACTGCTAAGGACTTATGGATCGGACAGGAAGCAACAGGAGCAGGTAATACGAGGTTCCAATAGCTGAAAACCCGTTGAAATGTATGCTTATTTCAGGAATTAGTGGTTTGGCTAGATGGATCAACAGTCACTAGATGCCCCTCATGCGCCGCCAGCTTCAACATCGCCAGAAGGCAGCACCATTGCAGGCTTTGCGGGACCATAATGTGCAACAACTGTTCCCATTTTCTCCCTTTTGAAGCGGCACGTACGTACTTTTCGCCCAATTTTGTAAGTTGCATCAAATTTGGGATTTCAGACGCGATTGTTGCCCCATTAAACAATGTAAGCGACCGGGAATATCTATCGAAAGACTCAGACACTTTGCGGATATGCAGCCATTGCTTAGACATGCTGGAGTGCAGGAGAAAAGCGCAAATCGATCAGATGGTTAAGCCGACCATCTGGCAACTGTACTCGCTTCTGCAAGGCAATAAGAAGCAAATCCAGTCCTCAGTTGAACTGTATAACAAAATGTTTAATTCACTAACATCTGGAGAGACGACGTTTCTGTTGCAAGACGTCCAGGCGTTGCGCTCTCTGATTGCGGAAAAAGCCCAAATGATCGACACTCTCAGCAAAAAAATCGCAACAGAAATGGTCGACTCCAACACTCCGAAAGCCGCAGTGGTTCAGAGCAACATCAGAAAATCCACCTCCAACTACATCAAGGTGGGTTTTCCACCACATCTGTCCATTTGCTGAACTTGATGAGTTTTAGGATTCGTTGCTTACGCTGCCTGCTCCTCCTAGTGTGGCCGAACTGGAGAAAATCCGACAGAAACTTAGTCTGAGCTTCAAGGAAGACAGCGGCGCGTATCCTGCAGGAGCGCAACCGGTTCAAACAGTTACTGTGACCACTGGATGGTCACCAGCTCCAGCCAAAGAAGCGGAAGGTGCGAACTATTCTAGACTGTAGTTAACAAAAGCTGGTGAATACTTGTTTGCAGCTTCCGAAGAACATCCGCTGATCGAGCAGATGAGAATAGTGAAGAACTATATTGATCAGGCACGGAAAGCGCATAGATTTGAGGAAGTTGTTTCGTTGGAGGAGAACTTGCGCATGCTGCAGGATTCGTACAGGCAACTGCAAGCCACTAGTTAAACGCTTACCTTTCCTAATATATCACTCCATTCCATTTGAAGTAATAATCACGCTTTGAATTAGTATTAGCATAATCCTGGAGTTAATGGGTTTTTAGGCCGTCGTAAAATGGAATTTCTTCCTGACGTTTCGCAAGCACGAGTGGCTTGCATCTTCAGAAGTGGTTTGCTTGAACGCT